TGTTATTCTCGTTACATACTTTATATGCTTGAATTGATGAGTATTCATGTTGGACTAGGCTTATGGTATTTCCTTGGTATTTGACCATTGTTGAGTATTGACTCAAGTTGGGATTTATTTTGTGAAGTTAACTGTTGGAACGAGATTGGTTATAGTTGATTCCCTTGCCGGGATGTATTTGTTTCTATTGTTGATTCCCTTGTCGGGATATATTGTTTCTATTGTTTGGGTGAGGAAGAGTCTAAAGCACGAAGGGTGATGTCGTGCATGATATTGTGAGTGAGTGTTAATGCACGAAGGGTGATGTCGTGCCATGATTATGAGAGTTAATGCACGAAGGGTGATGCTGTGCCATGATTATGAGATTTAATGCACGAAGGGTGATGCCGTTCCATGATTATGAGAGTTAATGCACGAAGGGTGATGCCGTGCCATGATTATGAGAGTTAATGCACGAAGGGTGATGCCGTACCATGATTATGAGAGTTAATGCACGAAGGGTGATGCCGTGCCATGTTATGAGAGAGTAAAAGCACGAAGGGTGATGCCGTGCACATTTCTATTTATGCATATGGTGAGGAAGAGTGATAAAGCATGAAAGGTGATGCCGTGCACTTTCTTTGTGTTGTGTTCATTTGTGGTTATCAATTCAAGTGTTTTAACTGTTAAGATTCCTTTACTGTTGTGATCCTTTGTGATGGAACCTCATAGTGTCTTCAATACTTCGCCGTATTTATATATATATATATATATATATATATATNAATTTCAATAATTGTTTCATTTTTAATTCAATTAGTTACTCAATTAAATTCCCTTAAACCTTCTGAGGTTGTATTTTACTTAAAAAGGAATTTCTACTAAGTTAATTTATTAAATCCCATGTTAAAAGTAATAATTCATTCGATGTTGTATTTTAATTGAAAATGGTACTTTCTTTATTCAAATGATTTCTAAAAATAAGTTCATCTTTTCTTGTTGAGTTCCTAATTGGTTTAGAAGTTGTACTCTACTTTATGTTATGTAAACGAGACTCCATGAACATCTATTTGCATTGGCTATGGACCCTATGGACTGAGTAACATGAGAAATTTGTTGTGCAAAGTGAGATAGAAATATGTAGGCACAGGGTGCTGGTTGTGCTAATGGTTTGGTAATTGAGGTTATGATATGAGACATCAAGTTTGAGATGGCTGGAATTGTGCATCAGGAATGATATGATTTATTGAGCTGACATCGCCTTACTTATTTGAGTTCATTTTTACTTGTATGTGTTCCAGCTATGTTGGTGTTAATCCACTTGGTTATCTTTCGTTTCCATCCGTGTTTCCCTTTATTGTTTCTACTGATTGTAGTTTGTTCCTTCCATGTTGATATTACTTCGTTACCTCTATCTTGGTATTTGCTATCATATCCTCTTTTATCTATTTGACCAGTAGGTGTCTTGACTGTTCCTCGTCACTACCCCACCGAGGTTAGTCTTGATACTTACTGGGCACCGCTATGATGTGCTCATACTACACTTCTGTACATTTTTGGGTATAGATCCAGGTATTTTATCGGTAATAGTTGTGCGGGTCGTCGCGGTGGAGACTCAAGGCAACCTGCTGCTGCGTTCGCAGGCTTCGGAGTCACCTTCGTTTGTATTTACATTCCATTGGTTCCTTCTCATTCTGGAACAGTATTGTATTTATTTTGTATAACTACTCTTAGAAAGGGTTATGACTTATACCACCGATTTTGGAAAATTTGTGTTTTGTTCAGAGTTATTTAATTTGAAGCTAGTAAATGTCAATGTTATTTCAATTAATGTTAGGCTTACCTAATTTCGAGACTAGGTGCCATCACGACTCCTTCGGAGGGATTTTGTGTCGTGACACAAAAGTAGAATTACCAACATCAAAACTCTCATAATTCCAAGATGCCATGTTCTCAAATCAACAAGTAAAACGAAAAGAAAAAGAATAAAAAAAATCAAAAAACAAAAATAAAATAAAATAAAATAAAAGTTCAAACTTGAAACCTAGCAATATGTACACCTACAGCTACACCGTTAGTTCCCCGCCAACGACGCAAAAATTTGATCACGCCCAACTATGCCTTATAAAAAGGACTAAGCGGTCGTTGCAAATATAATCCGGTTTACAAGTCCGGAGTCGAATCCCACAGAGAACTAAGGCTTAGCTACAGTTGTTCAATATTGCTAAGAAGACAAGCTCGAACAATTCCTATGTCATAAATATTAAGATTCTTGTATCTAATTAACTAACAAATTAAATTAGTAGATTAACAACTAGGGATACTAAGGGTTGAAGAAAAGATTAAGGAGGTCTAGAGTCATGATTTTCCCTATTGTCGGAATCCTTTCCGCTACATTTTCTATGAATTTGCCTAAGTTTTCTCTACCGATCATGAGCACTCTGACTGTCATAACTCTATCCCGAATAATTACCACAATTTACTAGACATATTCTCCCGAATTACGCTAGCTGGTATTAAGTACGGATCACTCGGATCGCACCCAAGGTTTCGTTATCCCTAATCCCACTTTTAAACCCTCTGTATTGATCCCTCATATACGTTAGGAGTGATGTTGTTCAACAACTACCTAAATATGCAATCTCTCCCAAGTAATACACACTAAATAGGCACAGTCGACTGAGAGCTCTCCAACCAACCACAATAATAACATAGTTGAACAAATAGAGAAAATACTACAGCAAATCTGTATTAACGTAACAGGAAAATCATCCTCCAATAGGTTCCATCAAAACCCTAGATAACAAATTAGCTATTCATAATAGTATGCATAACTACAATACTAGAATTCATAACCAATAATGGAAACAGGAAGAAGGAAGTGAAAAACTCGTAGAAGAATTCTCTGCCTTGCTCCTAGTGTGTTCTTGCCTCCTTAGGTTGAATCCCCGATCTCCTCGGCGGCTCCATGCTCTCCCTAGGTCTAAAGTGTGTCAAAAGTGTGTCCCCCTCCTCAAAATAGCGATTTTACATGTATTTATACCAAATAGGGTCGGGCCCAGAAGAAATATCTTTTCCTGCACGAAATAGGACAATCGCTCTGTAAAATTTTCACTACCGCTCCGCATGGGGTGACGCACCATGCGGTGTGCTTGTAGGGAAGTTCAGAGAGCTGATTCTGACATGCTGCAGGAATTTTCCATAGCCGCGGCGCGCCCCGCGACGCAGTAATGGGAATTCGCAAAAATGCAAATCACAAAAGTTGTAGACCTTTCAAATAGCTTTCCAACGATATATTGTGAAGCCCAAACGGAGTTCTGAGCGAAAAGTTATGTGCATTTTACTAGACAATGCACCGTATGCACGCTCGATTCTCCGTTTCGTTCTTATCTATCATCCATTGATCCCCGAACACGATCCCGGCTTGATTCCTTGGGCTTTACTCAGACTTCAAAGCTCCAAATCACTTGAATTCATTCCATAACATCTACATAGCTTGGAATTACTCCTACAAGGCATAAAATACACAATTAGTGCAAAACACTAGCGATTAAAGCTCAAACTCAATTAAAGTGCAGTAAATTAGAGTGTAATAAGCGACTAAAATACGTAATTATAGCCTATAATCAATTTCAATGGCCACATTGGGGAGGCATCTGGGGGTTACGATGATGTTCATAGAGGTTTCAATTTTGGAGTTTGGAACGGAGGAGGAACTTCACTGCTGGATTTTGCTAAGGCGTTTGATTTGATAATTGCTAACTCGAGTTTCCCAAAGAATGGGGAGCACTTGGTTACTTTTCAAAGTTCGACAGCCAGGACTGAGATTGATTTATACTACTCAAAAAGACGGATAGAGGTCTGTGCATGGATTGCAAGGTCATCCCGAGTAAAAACCTCAAGGCCCAACATAGGCTCCTGGTCATGGATTTGGGGATTAGGAGGAAGCAAAGAAAGAAGGTTACGTATGGTCTTCTTAGGATCACGTGGAGAGCTTTGACTTAGTCTAGTGCCCATGGAGTTGGGGGATAAGCTGCTAGCTTTGGGGGCATGAATGAGTAGTGGGGACGTGAGTGGTTTGTGGACCGCGACTGCGAATTGCATTAGGGAGGCTTCTAGGGAGATATTGGGGGTCTCGAAGGGTCCTTCTAGTGGCCGCAAAGGGGACTGATGGTGGAGAACTGAGGTCCAAGGTAAAGTGGAAGCCAAGAAAGTGGCTTATTTGAAGCTTGTGGAAATCATGGACGAGGAGGAGAAGAGGACGAACATGGAGCGGTATAAGGTGGCTAAGAAGGAAGCAAAGTTAGCAGTTACTGCGGCTAAGACTGACGCATTTGACCGCTTGTATGAAGAACTTGGAGGAAAAGGAGGGGACAAGAAACTGTACAGGTTAGCCAAGTTGCGAGAAAGAAATGCCCGTGACCTAGACCAAGTAAAGTGCATCAAGGATGAGGAAAGTAGAGCGTTGTTGGACGAGGCTCTGATTCGACAGAGATGGCAGGCGTACTTCCATAAACTCCTAAATAACGAGGGGGATAAGAACATTGTGCTGGGGGGACTTAGAAAACTCTATGTTTCATCAGGACTTTGGGTATTGCAGGCGTATTAGAGTAGCGGAGGTAGAGGGAGCTATGCGTAAGATGAGCAGGGAGAGCGACCAGGCCAGACAAAATCCTGGTTGAATTCTGGAAGAGCGTGGGTAGGGTAGGCTTGGAATAGCTAACTAGGCTATTTAATGTAATTGTTAGGATGAAGAAGATGCCCGAGGAATAGATATGGAGTACGATGTTCCCGTTGTATAAGCACAAGGGGATATCCAAATTACAATAACTATCGTGGGTATCAAGATACTGACCCATACTATGAAAGTATGTGAGAGGGTGGTGGAGCTGAGGGTGAGGAGGATTGTGTCTATTTCAAAGAATCAATTCGTATTTATGTCGGGGAATTCGACTATAGAACCTATTCATCTTGTTAGGAGGTTGATGGAGTAGTACAGATAGAGGAAGAGGGATTTACATATGGTGTTCATCGACTTAGAGAAGGCTTACAATAAGGTGCCGATGGAGGTGTTGTGGAGATGTTTGGAGGCTAAAGGCATTCCTGTTGCATACATTAGGCTATTCAAGACATGTACGAAGGGTGCTAAGACCCGGGTGAAGACAGTTGGAGGGGACTCGAAACACTTCCCGGTTGTGATGTGGCTGCATCAGGGGCCAGCCCTCAGCCCATTTCTGTTTGCCCTTGCGATCGATGTGCTGACGCGCCACATTCAAGCGGAGGTGCCATGGTACATGTTGTTTGCATATGACATTGTACTGATTGACGAGACATGTTGTGGTGTTAACGAGAGGTTAGAAGTTTGGAGACAAACTTTGGAGTCTATAGATTTGAAGTTGTGCAGGACCAAATAGAATATGTGAGTGCAAGTTCAGTGGTGCAACTCAGGAAGAGGACGAAGACATGAGGCTTGATTCACAAGTCACTCCTAAGAGAGAAAGCTTCAAGTACCTTGGGTCTATTATACAAGGGAATGGGGAGATTGACGAGGATGTCACCTACCGTATTGGGACAGGATGGATGAAATGGAGGCTCGCTTCCGGTGTTTGTGTGATAAGAATGTGCTACCAAAATTTAAATGTAAGATCTATAGAGCGGCGGTCAGACCGACTATGTTGTATGGGGCTGAGTGTTGGTCGGTCAAGACATCCCATGTCCAGAAGACGAAGGTTGCGGATTAGGATGTTGAGGTGGATGTGCGGGCTTAACAGGTAAGATAAATTTAGAAATGAAGTTATTCAAGACAAGGTGGGTATGGCCCCTGTAGAGGACAAGATACGAGAGGCGAGACTTAGATGGTTCGGGCCTGTGAAGAGGAGAGGAATTGATGCTCCGGTGAGGAGGTGCGGGAGGCTGGCATGGGAGGCCAACGGAGAGGTAGAGGCAGGCCGAAGAAGTATTGGGGAGAGATGATTAGACAAGATATGGCGTTGCTCCAGCTCACTAAGGATATGACCATGGATATGAAGGCGTGGAGGTTGAGAATTAAGGTAAAGGGTTAGGTGGTCGAGTGTTGCCCTTGTTTGTAGCAGTAGCTTTATTACACCACTTGGTGCCTTCCGTGTTTTTTCGTAACCTAATCTTCTGTTACTAATTGTTGTTGTTTTGTGTTTCGATTTTTTGATTGCACTACCTTTTGCTAGTTTTGTATTTTTTTTTCTTTGGTTGTCAGATCGGTTTGCTTGATATTACTCCTCCCCTTCCCGAGCCGAGGGTCTTTCGATAATAGTCTTTCTGACTTTTTAAAGACAGGGATAAGATCAATGTACACTCTACCCAGACCCCACTTATGGGATTACATTGGGCATGTTGTTGTGTTGTTGTTCTCAAAAAACACAAATCGAAAAATCAAACTTCCAATCACTAAGCAAATTCTTTGGAATATTAAAATCACTACACTATGTTTAATACAAACGTTCGATATGATTCTCGATGAAAGTTACATAATATCTGTACTATATATATCAGTGTTCTTATCTTATCTTTTTGAGATTCCAAAAGATAACCGATTAATTAAAAACTTGTCGAATAGTGATAAAAACTAGAATTTCTTCTTTTTTATTTATTCCAATTAAATCCCGGCGCCGAAAGAAACAATTTTTTTAAAGAGACATATTTTCTTTTCTTTTTTGGGACAAAAAGATACATATATATGTCTACCTTCACTCCTTTATTACCGAGGAATATAATCAGCATCGTTGAAAAAAATTATGGAAAGGAATTATACTTATCAAATTAATGTAAAACTATAACTTTTAGAATTTTGAATGATAAGGATTCCTAATTCTATATATAAATTCTGATATTCCATAGTTTAAGCTTTCATTGACCTGTCAGTCAATTAAAATTTGAGAATAAATTATTATAAATATCATAGAAGGATCAGTTTGTAGCATATATTGATTCACGAGTCAATGATTCTTTAATAACAATCATAAGAATTTAGTTTAGGCACTTTATTCATAATCCAAGTTGATAACATATGCATCCTTTTCATATTATACAATACATATACAGATTCGGATCCAGAATTTAAATTCTATGAGTTCAATTTTTAAGGTTTTAGCATTTAACCCATTATAGTTTTAAAGTTATGAGTTCAGACCTACCATTTGTTGCAATTGTAATAAATTTTTGCACAAATTTATGCTCCGTAGTGAAAGTACTGGGTTCAGATGAACACGGCGGCCATACTCCCTGTTCATAATTTATGCTCCGTAGTGAAAGTACTGGGTTCAGATGAACACGGCGGCCATACTCCCTGTTCATATATATATCTTTGCGAAATATAGAAATTTTTTAAGTGTAAGTTATATATAATGATAATATAAAGTTTTTTTTCTCTAACAGTGTATTTAGAAGATCGCTTTCTATTTTCTTAAGATTACCAATTAATGTTTGTAATAGAGAATTATCCGCAGTTACGCGCCTTTTAAGTGAATTAATGTTGTAAATCTTTTTTACAACATAAATAAATAGAACTTATACTCAATTTTTGTTGACAAAAGTTGACATATTCCTGACTAATTAAGTAAAGACACTAATGGAAAACCAACTTGCCATTTTTGGTTAGATAATTAAAGGTGGTGAGTGGAATGTGGAACCTTATCATATCCTCACCTAAAGTGTATATTATGATTTTCTTAGTTGTTAAATAAGTAATTGACAAGGAAGTAATTCACTTTCTTTGGCTGTGAGATATATATACCTGACTGTACCACAAAAAGAATAAAGAAAAAGAAAAAAAAAGAATTCTGAACATTTTTAACCAAATCATGATGTACGAATAATTGATGAATATTCTCCATTTTCTACAATAGTTATGGTACTTTGTCTATAAGCCTCAAATTAAAAAAATGTCACGATCCCAAACCGGACCCGGTCGTGATGGCACCTCTCGTGAAGACAAGGCCAGCCGACACAATTTCCCAAGTCAACCGTTTTCCATTAAAAGTTGTTTTTATGCCATTTATAAACCATTAATCTCATAATGAACATTTAAAAGCAAAATGCGGAATAATTACACAAGCCCGACATCGGGGTGTCACTAGTCATGAGCATCTACCAAGGTGTGAATACAACAAAAACAGCAAAATGTACTAAGTACAGAAATGAAAATGAGAGGAAGGAAGCGGTGCTGCGAACGTCGTACAGCCACCTTGCTAACTCTGATGACTCCGTGTCTGAGCAGCCAACACCCGCTACCAGGTTCTGAATTACCTGAATCTGCACATGAGGTGCAGGGAGTAATGTGAGTACTCCAACCCAGTAAGTAATAAGAGTAAATAAAGACTGAGCAGTAGGGAACAATGAATTCCACATTTATGTTTGTCGACGCCCCCTTTTTCTCGCGAAATCGGGTTTACGACATTCGGGAAGACAACTCTATTCCCGTTTGGGAATTGGATTTTTGGAATTGAAGAGTCGCCACCTAATGATTGAGTGCATTAGGACACTAAGAAGGGTTTTTGAGTTGGAAAACCAGAGTTCGGGTAAGGGCTAGAAATTATCTCAAGGGGAAGGTGTTAGGCACCCCTCAAGATCCACTAGTGTGGTTCCCGGCCATGCTATGTTGTGACTTTAATGCAAATAGATACACAAAGGATTTTACACATAAAGGTTGCAAATAAATACGTGACAAGTATGTGGGATCATGGTCTAGATGATCTACAATTTGTTTAAAAGGGGGGCTAAACGCAGAAAATTAATCAGTGCATTGAACAAACAAAGAAGAAAAAATTTGGAAGAAAAGGCATAATGCAGTAAAATTAAGGAGGAGTTTTGAGTAGTTGAAAAGACAGGATTTTATTGATATTAAAAAAAGTTGTATAAGAAAAGGGGTCCTAGGTTTATAAATCACATGGATCATCCACACAACACTGGTAATCAATTGTACGCATAGTGTTATCGTGTGATCATCATCTCCATGTCTACCCTTCCCACCCCGTTAAGGTATTAAGCGCGAAATAGTCTCGTTTACTTATTGCATGCTATTACCCGTCCCACCTATCAGTCCTGGAGGCTTTTAGGACTACTAATCCTAAAGGGAGGAAGCTTGGCTTTTCAGAGGTTTAAAAAGGTTAAAATACTAAGGCGTCAAGCAAAACACATGAAAACAGTTATGGGAGCACAAAACAGTTAAGGCTCAGATAAACCTCCTTTAGTCACAGAAAATCATGTAGTTTAGCATGTCTTACATGTACTGATTAGATCGAAATTATGCTTAACGTTAGGCAGGCTGGTTCATTACATATTTTCAGGCAAGAAGTTCGCATTAGGCTCGCCTGGCTGCAACTTATCGAAAACTAGTGCAATTAATTAACTACATACTTGTTTGCCTACGTGATGGCCTATATGCATGGCATCTACTGGTTTCAGGAATAAAGAAACAAACTGATTAAGAAGGTTGCCAGTTTTAACAGAATGATGCGAGTTCTGCAATTAGTGCTAGTCTTAAAACGAGTGATTCAGATTTGATTGATAATTCCTATAGGCTACTCTTTTTATAGGCGTAGCAAAAGCGCAGAAATACTATAAGCATGGTATCTGAGTACTGTTAGTTTTAAATCCTATAAATAGGTTTGCCTAGTGAACAATGCATGCGTAGAGTCTGGATTTCTGGTTACTTATAGGCGTGGTATCCATATGGAGATGCAAAATTCCTATAGACATGGTATCTATATGGATGCATAAACCTATAGACATGATATCTATGTGGATGCATAAACCTATAGACATGGTATCTACGTGGATGCATAAACCTATAGACATGGTATCTACGTGTGATATGCAAATGTGCAAAGCTGTAGGCAAGATACATGAGTACAGAAGTGTGGTAATTCCCTATGAGCATGATATCTACCCCTTTGCATGCATGGTTACCCTTCCCTTTTCACTAATCACCCCAGAGGTTATTACAAAATTTTATTACAGACCAAGATGAATCAAAAACTGGAAATAAAATTTCAATCAGAACTCTTAAGCTGCATCCAAGGAGCCTAATTCAAACCCAAGGTCTAACAATATGATATGAGCCAACTGCCAGGATCAGGTTCCAAAGCCTTTCTCTTATCCGGGATGTGTCAAAGTTCCAAGGAATTTCAAGAACTCCAGGCAATGCTCACACCCAGATATCAGAACTGAATGAAAGTGCAGTGTGGAAGGGCCAGCCCTCCAATGTCCAAGTTCAGAGGGAGCTCAAGGTCCCAAGGCAAGGCTCATTGGAGGGGGGGCAGAACTTAGAGTCTAGGAACAAGTGTAAGTGCAGTAGAGGGATATAAGGGATGCCAAGGCAGGCTGGTGGTCATGCCCAGCAACATAAAATGCTGGCACACCCCTGACCAGCCCACTAGCC